GCAATATGGATGGTGTGGGTGAAGGCATCGTTATCCTTAACACTTTAATGGAATTCAAGTAAATCAAGCAATTCAATAGAATTTCTTCAATTTCTTGATTTCGTTAAATTCCTTGGATTCCTTGAATTACTGGGGTTACTTGAATTTCTTTAGCTCCTTGTATTATTAGGATTACTTGAATTCCTTGAATTGCTTGAATTTCCTTGAATTGCGAATTTCTGGATCTGGATTATATCTCACCATCAAAAGAAAAATTCTATGTATGTGATATCACTGATGAAAATCAAATTTCACGTATTATCCAAGAAAATCAAATTAATATTATTATTCATCTAGCAGCACTTTTACAAAAACAGACACAGTTGAAAAAATTAATCATATTAATTGTTATGGTACAAAACTTCTATTTGATATAGCAACAAAACAAGAGCATATGGAAATGATTATTTATGCTAGTTCAATTATGACTGTTTTTGGCTATTTAGAAAATGAACCATATTCATCATTAGCAAAAAATATTCAACCAAAACAATTATTGAAAAAGATAACAATTAATGATCCTCCGATACCATCCCATTTTAATCCATCGTTTGAAGCATATTCTAACAGTAAAATATATGGTGAAGAATTGGCTAGACAATACTCAACAATTGAAACTATAAATGTTAAATTTATTTGTGCAAGATTCGGTTGGATAAATACAACTGATGATGTAATATCTGATTTGTATGATTGGTCAGATAAATCAGTACAGTGTAGTCATCGTGATTTATGTCAATTTATTGATCGAATATTAGAAAAACAATTGATATTGAACAAGTTTGAGATTTATTTTGTTTCTTCAAATAATGATTATTGTTGGGCTAATATGGATAATTGTCAACAAGATTTAGATTATATACCACAAGATGGCGCTAAATGGAAGACAACGTGAATAAAAATGTGTCTATCTATGCAAACTTTTTTGTTCGCTGTACTGCATAGATCAGGACCTTTTAGTGGGAAAAATTCATTTTCTGAAATTCTTCAAGTGTTTGTCATCAAAAAATAGATGCTGGTAGACCAATCAAAATCTAGAGCTGCTAATAGTAAATTTTTATTTCAATTTTTGGTGGATATAATCCATAACTATACACTGATTCCACAACAGTACTGTACTTTCACTGTAGCGGTAGTACCCAGATTTCCTCATCTACGTTATTCCTCTACACATGAGCTTATATGGATTATTCAGGATGGTATAAATTTGACAACTATTCCTCGAATCATTAATATCTCGATCGTTTTACATTATATAGTAAACGTTTCTGTAGTACTCACATATCACTATAATTTTCTACTATTTTTAGAAGTAAAATAGTTAGTTTGATCAAGTCAAATTATCGGTATTAACTATAGCATGTTGACATCAAATGATTTCAGATAAGTCAAATCGTACTCATGATAGCTACATGATTATACTCATTGATAAAGCAAACAGCAATGTTGCCATTAGATATTAGGATGGATGTGGGTGTGGGTGTGACGAAAAGATGAATACAGGTACATTCACAACACATCCATACTTGAAACTTGGATTTCCCCATCCGCCAGACAGTGACATACGCTAACTAGAGACCATCGTAGACTCTATATCAACAACATCTTGTTCTAATATATGAACTACTGCCTTATTTCATTTCTGGAGGATTAAGTAAAAGGATGGTGAAGAGATGTGTCCCAACCTAGATACAATAAAGCAATTTTCTGCGATTAGCAACAACAACTGGATTGTGCTTCACATTTTACTCGTGGGTGTGGGTGTGGGTGTGGGTGGGTGTGAGGTGTGGGTGTGGGTGTGGGTGTGGGTGGGTGTGGGTGTGGGTGTGGGTGAGTGTGGGTGTGGGTGGGGTGTGGGTATGGGTGTGGGTGGGTACTTCCATCATTCACACCCACATCCTACACCCACACCCACATCACACCAACACCCACACCCACACCCACACGCACACCCACACCCACCCACATCCACACCCACACCCACACCCACATCACACCCACACCCACACGCACACGCACACCCACACCCACCCACATCCACACCCACACCAACGCCCACACCCACCCACACCCACATCCACACCCAACCACATCCACACCCAAACCGCAGCTCGCTAGCTGTTTCCATTCTCAAGTTATTCAAAAAATGACGGAGACCTTTTTTTTTTAACAGACAGTAGTTACTTTTATTTGGTCTGACAGCAATTTCATGTATTGAAAATGCCAAGCAACTTTTTTTTGTCCTCATCTACTTCTGTTTACTCTTTCGCTCGATCGTATGCTGATGTTGGAAGAAACTAAAGTTTCAAGTGTGCTGCAACTTATTTGGCAGAAACAAAAAAACATACAAAGCAATGTGGGTGAGCGACTTTTTTTACGCAGCAAACGACTGCAATCATCAGTCATATTTTACCTTTTCATTTTGTTGGCAATAATATCTAAGAGATTGGAAGTACTGCCTGTAAGTAATTTAGGTAGTACACGATATATTATTTTATTCATTGCCCATTATTTAACATTTTGTTGAAATCATCAGCCAAAAAATAGTATAGAGCGGACTGTCGATCGTCATAGTCTTTCATCAAATACGAATATTGCAGGTAAAGCAATTCTTCGCGAAGAATACAACATAAATGAAACTAAGTAAATTCGTATTTACGGCTATTGTAACCGTTCTATTCTTATCTGCATTCACATCCTGCCTGGAAGTGTCGTGCGCGATACTATTATTTTCAGAAAAATAAGTGCGCAAATGTCCGACCACGGCTATATCAAAAAACGACACCCTTGTTCGTTAGCAGCTAGAATAAGGCTTGTTCACCGCGTTGGAGACACTAACCCACGACATCTAAACTAATTAAAATGTTAACTTGAAAATGATCTGAAGACTTATATTATTTGCTCACCAATTGCCGTTGCTATGGAAACGTATCTAATAATCTATTGTTTATCATTGTGTAGTTCCTAGCACCTGCAGGGAGGAAAGCTGTACTACTAGTGCTTGTAATGGGAAGGTGGACGGCGCAAGCATTTTCGAGGGCCAATAATTTGGAGGATAGAGAATCATAAAAACCGTGATTTTAACTCACACTCACTATTATTTTCTTCGAATATAAGGATAAGCTGCAGAAAAACTTCAATAGACATTTGAAAATTTCTTAGCGCGCTTGAAAAAACTTCGGAAAACTTGAAAATATTCCACGAAACTTGAAATTTTCAAGAAAAATCTGTAAAAGACTTGTTAAGATTTGATTAGATTTGATGAAAATTAAAAAGACTTGACAAGAATTCGAAATAAATTGAGAAGTTTCAAGATTCAATACTTTTCTATACTTTGATTAATTTCATTTGATATTATTTTTTTAGATTTTTCAGCTAATAAATAAAGTAATGATAAAATACGTTTCTAATATTGAATATTGAAAAGAAAATCAATTGAAAATAATGGCCGAAGCAATATCTACAACATCGAAAAACTCATTAAAATGTGTTGAATGGATGTGGCAGGCAAATTCAAATCCATGGTCAGACTCGGAGCCAGCCAAATGGAATCATTATTCCGATGTCGAAAATCTTATTATTGAACGAGCATATTCGAATAAGGAAACACGAGCAGTTTTAGATGATTATTATATTGATTTCACACAAAATCGACAAATATCAAATACAGATGATTGTAAAGAAAGACCTGTCAAACGAGTAGTACGTAAGCGAGAAGATAAACATTTACGAGAAGAACGTTTTGTAGATCTTCCTGTTAGTACAGGACGTTCATTTGGTGGTGAATATGGTTGGGTATCACCATTTATTATTGAAGTTAGAAGGGATTTAAAACTTGAACCAGAAGAATTACCATCAAAAAAACCAGAAATGATTCCAATGCTTATTGAGAAAGCTGCACAAGGTATTGTTAAAGAAGGAAAATTTATTCGAAAAGAAGAAGAAGCTAAAGAATTGGCTAATATGCTTCTAGAACAAAAAACCAATGGAATTAAACAAATATGGCAATGTTGTGTTTACATGTATTCATTAGAAAGTTTTCTTTATAAAACTTTGAATGCAACAATGAGATTAGTTGGAGATAAAGAACATGAACATGTATGGAGAAGTAAAATTCGTACATTAGGTCCTTTTTGTTTGTTGCTTTGGGATGATCCTTGTAATAAAAAAGCAACAATATACAAAACACTTTATCGGGGAGCCAATTTAAACAAACAACAAATTGCTAAATATGAAGAAATGTCTAAAAATTCCGATGAATATGGATCATTTCAAGCATTTACATCATGTAGTCGTAATCGTCAAAAAGCAGAAGAATTTGGTAATACATTATTTATTATGGAAGTAGAGATTGCTTTTACTGCTAATCTTGCTGGATTATCTGAATATCCCTCTGAAGAAGAAGAACTTATCACACCAGGTGTTTCTTTTCGTGTTACAAAAGTTAAATTTGATCAAAAGATAAATAAACATCTGATCTATATGACATTACGACAACGATTTTCTAGTAAGTAGAAATAAACCTTTTTTCTAATAAGGATTTTAATAACATGAAAAATTATTTCTTTCAAATATTTTTAATTCTAATTTTCATATAACTTCTGAAGATTAAACTAAATTCTAATAGATGAAATGATATTTTCATCATATAAACATGTTAATTCAAATAATTCAATAGTCGTTTATATGTTAATAATAATAGAAAATACAAATAAATTAATTATTTACATAAATCTTTATATTTTTATTTATTTTTTAATAGAAAATTCTACAAGTTTAATATTTTCAGTTATTGATTAAACAAATGATGTAGTTTGAAATCGATATTAAAAATAATATTTAAAATATAGTTAAAAGTATGAAATTGTTATGTTTTGAATATAATGAAAACTATTCATTTACCAAAGTAAATATTTTAGATATGTTTTTGTTTTGTTTTGTTTTTATTTTTCATTGTGTTGACTTAGAAAAATAAAGGAGATAAGTTAAACACGAAAAAAAAGAAAGGCGTAGCCAGGGGGAGTGCACAGGGTGCTCAGGCATCCCCTCGGCCAAAAAACATCTGAAGGGGAGTACAGGTAAAAAAATATTTTCGAGAAGCAAAAATTCATTTTGCTGCTGGTGTGCACGGCCCTTAAAAAATTCCTGGCTACGCCATTGGAAAAAAAGAAAACAAGAAGATTTAGATCCTCTTCTAAATCATTGTTTCGCTATGTTGTTGTGTATTTAGATTAATCAGTTCTCAACATTAATTTTTAAGAATATAAAATTCTAAATATATTTTAAATATGTCAGAATTTTTAGTCTTACAATAATAAATAATTATCTATGAGACAAGAAAAAAACTAATATTAAACTCATAGATGATCAAAAAAATATTGCGCAAATGATGATGGTTTAATAGAAACTCTCCTATAAAAAGATATTCGAATCACCTAGAAGGATGAACATGTATTTAATTAGAACGTTTTATTTTATTTTTAATCTAATCAAAACACCCCACACAATGATTGACTTGTCTAGTTTTGAATTCGAATATAAATCGTTATGTAAATTATTTATATAGAGCGACAAGCGAGGCAAACCAAGAGACTTTTTTGAAATTTTTGTTTTTTTTAATTCACTGTCTTCGCTCTTTTAGAAGATTGAAAAATATTTTCTTCGCAAAAAAATATAAATCAAACGTTTTTCTTGAATTTCCTCTTCACAGATTTTCAAAATCTTGTTGCGAACAGATTTGACGTTCGTTTTCTCGAAATGTTCAAAACGTTCTCGATTGGCCCCTATTTGAGCCGAATGAAGAGTCGTTTACCGCTTAGTAGAGCTAATGTAGAATTGCAAAAATTTCAGATTTAATGGTAAAATGAAAATTTTTCATCGATTTTTAATCGGATT